AAAAATCAGTTTTAAGCTAAATAGGAAAATATGGTTTTAGTGTCACATAAAAAGGGGGCCCGGTGGGAAAAACGGTTTCCCTGGGAAAAATTGACCTGAAACCCCACTTAGTGAAATTTTTGCCGGGTGTCGCCACACAAGGGGGATATAAAATTTACCCCCTCCCCCTTTCTATCCCCCCAAATAATATTAGTGAAATGACAAGGATTTTTTATGTGCCCCCCCCCTGGCATAGTGAAATAAATTGTTTGATTAAAAGTAATCTTTAAAAAATTTTCCCCAAGGTTTTTGGTACAATTTTATAGGTAGAATTTCTTACAAGGTTTGGGACTTTGCGAACTTTTTCCAGGGGTCCAGTGAAATGTAAATAAAGGATTTTAAATTTCCCACTATAGTAAAAAGATTTTAAAACCGGGAAAGGTTTGCATTGGGTGCAGGGAATTCCCCAGCTTTCATAAAAATTTTGGGATACGAACCCTTTCTCTACTAAAAAGGGAAAATTTTTTCCTTAGAATGTTTTAGGGGGAAGTTGCGTTAGGCCTTAGTGAAGTGTGGGGGTGGGCAAGGGGCTGGGTCCCCCCCCCCCTACCCCCACCACCCCCCCTGCCAAACCCAACCCCCCCACCCCAAAACCAAAACCCCAAACCAAAAAAAACAACCAACCCACCCCCCACCAAAAAACCCCCCCTGCCCCAAACCCCCCTACACCCCCCAACCCACCCTTAACCCCCCAAATCCAACCCCACCACCCCACCCTACTGCAAACTTTGGTTCGTTTAAATACATCTTGCATATTACCCGGGGACCCCCCAGTAAAAGGTTTAAGTGGAAATCCCGTTTTTTCCGTGGCATACAGAGTGAAAAAGGATACAGGCCCGGTGTCAGCCCCAGGCCCTATTGTGGGAAGGGAAAAAAAATTTCCCTTTAAAAGGGAAATTTCCCGAATTTACATGCACTTGCTCTTCCAAACCAAAATTTTCTTGTACTAGACTAAATTTCCCGCCTAAAAAATTGACCTCGAAATAGCAAAGGGGCTTCTGGTTGTGGGAAAAAAAGATGTAGAACTTTTTGGGCAGGTACGAAAGGTACTAAGGAGAGTAATAAAAAATAAAAAAATAACAAGAAAAAAAGGGGGAACCCCTTGGATAGGGCTACCCAAAAAAATTTTTAAAACCCTGGGGCAAAAAGATTGTTTTATCAAAAAATGCAGAATGTCCATACCACAAAAGATGACTCGAAACTACCTAGTCACCCACATGGTGCTAAGCCAGACCCATCCCCCAGTCTTAGCACTAATAACCCACAGTGATGGTGCTGGCCCAAGCTCCCCAGGCATAGCACCAATACCCTCAGTGCTGGTGCTGGCCCAGACCCAGCCCCACCCCCCAGCCCCAGTGCTGACCCAGGCCCCCAGCCCCCAGCCCTACTGCCAGCCCCAGACTCTCCTAGGGACACTACCCAAACCACCACAAAAACAGTAATATACAACCATCATTGCACAAGCCCGTGGCCCACAGTACAGATGTTGGAGAGGAGTCTCCTCCTTCCTCTACTGGGGAAAGTAAAAGGAATCCAGGCGGGGTGGCCCTGGCTTGGATACTGAGGATTATAGTGCAGTCCCAGAACCTGCAGAAAATTGACAACACACCTCCCAACAATTCTCAACCAAAGGTGAATTTGTGCAAATATTATGCTTGGGGCATCTGTTAAGCATGGAATAACAGGGGAAAAAATGGGACATGCTACTTTGACCATCCCAAAAAATTGTAGCGACCTCCTGTCTAAAGGAGTGTGTCGTTTTCTTCTGTACTTTCTTTCACCAAAATGTGCCACTCCTCGGTCTCCAGAAGCAGTGTTACAAATCGATTGCCCTGATTCCATCTAAAGGGACAGGAGCACAGACCCACAGACAAACATTGTAGCTACGACAACCAAATCCAGGTGATTTTTTTAGTGGCAGGAACGAAAAAAGGGAAAATGGAAGGAAATACAAAAAATAGTCACCACCTTGGAGCCTTGTTGGACTGGAGGCGCAGCCAGTGGCCAAACCCCTGGCCCTCCAGAATTATTACAACTACTGATGCCAAAACAAAATCCCCCAACAAACACAGGAATACAACCTCGTTCATATTTGCTAATATACAGGGCCTTAAGCCATCCACCAACAACAAAATACCTTTTATCAGTGGACTTCTAGTGAGTCTAATGCAATGTCTGCAGCCTTCACAGAGACTCACACAAAAGATCACTTTTTACAGTGAAATATGGATAAGTGGTTACAACCTTTTTAGATGCGACAGAAAAAAAAGGCAACAAGAGGGGGTTGGCCTGTATGTCAAAGAGTCCCTTATCTGCACGGAGTTGCTGAACACCACAATGAGGTAGTTGAAGTTCTATCAATAAAGATCGAGAACCAAAACCTAGTCATTGTGGTTGTATACAAGCCACCAGATGCAACCTCCCAACAGTTCAAGGAACAGCTACTGAAAATCGATTACTGTTTGGAAAACCTTCCAGCTCCATCCCCAAACCATCTTACTGCTTGGTGATTTCAACCTAAGGCATACAAAATGGAAGAATGTAGCAAATAATGTTATAGCTGAAACAATCCCCGGAGGTAGCGCAGATGAAAGGTCACACACACATGAGCTACTAAGTCTCTGCAAAAAACACACCTTAAGCCAGCAGATAGTGGAGCCAACAAGACTAGAAAACACACTTGACCTTATCTTCACAAATAATGAGGACCTGATAAGAGACATAAGAATATCAAAAACAACTAATTCCGATCACAATCTAATTGAAGTCCAGACGTACATGCATAGGGGTCCTGAACAACAGAATGCATGTACCTGTGAAGGTGTCTTCACAAAATACAATTTCAACAACAAGAACATCAACTGGGCCCCAGGAAAAACCAGCCCTAAACGAAACATGTTGGGAAAGTCTTAAATGACATGGACCCAAAACCAGTGCCTTAAAAGGATAAAACTCCCCTGGTAGCCAAAGCATTTTTCTAGGATTTTCCCCCTAAAAAGAAAAAAAGAGCAGGAGTTAAATGGAGAGAAAAAGACGCTCCCTCTACAGAAGACGACGAAGAGCCGAGCTCCTCCAGGAAGTGCTGAATATTTATACACGGGGGGAGGGCTGACCGGGGAAGTGGAAACTACGAACTAAGCAAAAGACTCTTACAAAAACCCAGGAGAGGCAGGAGGAGTTTAAAAGCTATTATGAAATTGAAAGAAATTCAAAATATTTCTTTTCATACCCAAAAACAAGAAAATCCCACATCTGTACGGGCCCTTACTCAGCAGGAGGGACTTAACAGACGAAAAAGGAAAGAGGGAAAAATTGAAATCCCAGTACGACTCTGTGTTTTGTGAACCACTAACGGTCTGAGGATCGACGACCCCAAAAGATTTCTTTTATAAAAGAGCCTCAAAACCCATAAAAATATGCCAGATTTCCGACTTTTCCCCAACTCGTAGATTTCGAAAAAGCCATGACAACATGCCTTGCATCAGCCCGGGGCCCCGACTCGTGGAACTCTGTTTTTATTAAGAATTGCAAGAAACGCTTCCGTCCCTAAGACACTAGGAGGAGGAGCTTGGACATGGGTGAAATTCCACAGTCACTTAAAAAAAAGGATATAGCCCCACTCCATAAAGGTGGCAGCAAAGCATTAGCTAAGAACTATAGACCAATAGCTCTGACATCCCACATCATAAAAATCTTTGAAAGAGTGCTAAGAAGCAGGATTGCAAATCACCTGGATTCCCAAAATCTGCACAATCCAGGGCAACATGGGTTCAGGGCAGGTCGCTCCTGTCTCTCACAACTACTGGATCACTATGACATGGCCTTGGATGCACTGGAAGAAAATCAGAATGCAGATGTAATATACACAGACTTTGCAAAAGCATTTGACAAATGCGATCATGGCGTAATAGCCCATAAGTAGTATAAGTTGGTCGATCTAGGAACACTGCCGGATAATGACCATGGAAAATGAGATAATGATGGGGTCTGTATGACCTTAGGGCTAACAGGGTAATTGTTTAATATGATTAATCATGCCCCAAGGGGATAGAGAGACTTATTCCTATACATTAATAAGTAGGTACATAAAGTAGAACAAAGGATTCGGGTGTGCAGGTGGCAGATTCCGGGATAATGAGTGTGGAAAAGAATGTGATAATGGGTGGTCTGCATAAGCACAGGTGCTGTCAGGGGGTACAAGTTTAATATGTTTAATCATCCCCCCAAGGGGATAGAGAGGCTTATTTCTGTGTAATTACTAAGTATAAGAAGGTAGGTAATGATCACTTCTGACACCCCAAACTCAATCACTCTGATAGATGGGAGAGGCAGTACAAAAAAGGATTCAGGTGAGCAGGTGGGCAGATTCCGGGATAATGAGTGTGGAAAAAGAATGTGATAATGGGTGGTCTTCATAAGCACAGGTGCTGTCAGGGGTACAAGATTTAATATGTTTAAACATCCCCCAAGGGGATAGAGAGAGAGGCTTATTTCTGTGTAATTACTAAGTATAAGAAGGTAGGTAATGATCACTTCTGACTCCCCAAACTCAATCACTCTGATAGATGGGAGAGGCAGTACAAAGGATTCAGGTGACTGGGTACAAGCTTACCATCTCCGAGGGAGTCCCCCCCCCCTTCCCGGGGCTGCGACTCACTGACGCGACTGTTGCTACTTCACAACAACACTGCTGGGTTTAAAGAACGCGGTAATGGATGGGCAGCTGGTCCCCCGAGGGAGTGTTGCTCGCCCGTCCGTACCTCAGCAAAAAAAAAAAAAAAGGTTCTTCCGGGTACTACGGTAGTGTTTATTCTTGCCAGCTGCTAGATCTTTCCAGGTGGAGGAGGCTTAAAGCAGTGAGAAAAGGTCATCTAGGGGAGACCTTTGTGCTGATAGAGGTCTTATAGGAACTTTGTCATATACATTTTCCTCTCAGATGGGGAGAGGCTTAAGTGGTGCGATATTGTTTATATATATATGTTTAGACTAGAGAAGATAGTAATATATAGTTATATGTAAATAAAAATCAGAGTTTGTCAATATTTTTATTAATTCACATACAAAAGGGCAAAAAAAGCTGTGCAAAGTTTTTTAGCGCGAGCAAAGGGGCGAAACTGTGCGAGTTTTACTGGTTAGACTGAATGACTGCGCTCCTCCTGTTCACTTTCTGTAAGATTGATAACCTCCCGCTCGAAAATGATTTCCTTTTCAGGTACATCAACATCTGCCTTTACTCCACCTGCCGTCTTTACTCCACCTGCCGGCTTTACTCCATCTCCAGCATTTACTCTCACGTCGGGGGTTTTCCCTTCCTTCTCCGACTGACCGTCAGGGTGCGCTTCAAGGTCGCCAGTTTGTTCAGCACCTGCCGCGGCAGTGACCTCAACAGAGTCATCAGATTGAGCAGTATCGAGCGTAGAGAGGTCCACAACGAGGTCATCAGACTGACATGAGGGAAGGCTCTGCGTTTCATCGTTGTCGAGATCTGGTTCTTTCTTCATAGGCTCCTCTATATCAGATGAACTGATCCCATCTTCCACAGGCTGTAAGTCATAAAGAGAACATATTTATCACTTTCAAATAAAGGAGTGGGACTCGTCTCTAATCTACCAAAGGAGGGAACATAGAAAGACATACCCTTTCCTGAGGAAGTCTTTGTTTGCGTTTCCTGCTATCATCACAATGACACCGCTTTAGGAGTTTGAAGCCGGTGTGTTCCTTCCCTTCCAATCTACTAGCCGATAAAATCAAAACCTTTACAAATTCTGACTGGCGCCCCAGTGAAAACTGTTAAAGAAAAAAAAAGGAGACTCAAACTTTAACAATTATTATAAAGTTCCTGCCTCGTTTTTGTTTCATTAATAAATTGCCAAAGAGAAGTAATCCAATCTACCCCCACCGATAAAATCAAAACATTACAAAATCAGACTGGTCCAGTGAAAAACTGATGAAAAAAGAGACTCCAACTTTAAAAAATTATTATAAGTCTCTTGTCTAGTCTTGTTGTATTTTTCTCGTTAATATTCAACAGAAGAAAGTTTTTTAGCAAAATAACAGTTCTCGCTTACAACTATCCTCGTCAGAATGTCTTCTGTCCTTCCACCATGATGAGAGTCTCTCTCTCTCTATGCTATGGCTATCTATATTCAGCCACTATCTTTTTGCGGGAAGACATGTGCTTCAGCGCTCTTTAAAAACAGCTTCAGAGAGGGCCTTACCAGCCGCGAGGACACACTATTGGGGATACTCTCTGCAGAGGTGACCTTCCCCACAGAAGGGAAGCCAAAGATAACCATTACTTAGGCAAATATTCGTTTTTTCACAAGGAGGTAACATTTTAAAATTCTCTCTCTAGCCATATGTCTATCACTAATCTTTCCATTGATAAAAAGCGCCGATTTTTCCCGAGAAAGTTTTTTTAAAAAAAATATATTAAGCCTTTCCTAATCCCACAAGCTTTTATGCTTTATGAATAAACACATAACATATAGACTCCGCAAGTGAGTGAAAAATCACTTTGTGTTCTTGCCAGATAAACGATACATTTAATATTTTAATTTTTATTTATTTTAAAAATTTTTTTAAATTTATGGGGTGGGCCCGGGCATGAGGGACTTCTCTGGTTTTTTCCCGTAAACTGTCAAAGAAGAAGGATAGAACTATTTTTTCTTGTCCAAGAGAATAGAAATTAAAATGACCCATTACTTTGAACTGTAACGAAAGGATATAATATTACTTTATCAAGCACTATGCCCGTCTGAGGGATAGTCCATCTAATCTTATTTGCGTGTAGCAGCGTCTATAGTGAAACAGCCGATATAACTGTGGACTTTATTTATACACATAGGGCGGGGGCGGAATTAAACATATTATTTTATTTTCTGCGACAATTCATTTTGTTTATTTATGCACGCACATCACAATGAACAGATTATTTCCTCTGGTCATGGATTCTCTCTCTCCACCAGTGGGCCCTGAGCAAATAATAAAAACTACTTATTATGAGGGGCGGGCCTTAGAGAACTGTAATTCTCATTCTCCAGTACCAATTTTTTTCAATCGGGAGAGCCGTCTTCCACGAGAGATGGCTGTCCTGTTTAAATTGAAAATTATTGGAATGTTTCGCCCGGTAGCGAATAGATTCATAGAAGAATTAATTTTCTCTTTCCTCAATGCCAGAGAGTTAATTGCCTCATAATATATATTTAGCGAGCGTACGATGGGAGAATCACTGCTTATGCGATTAAACTGTAAAATTATTATTAATACATACGAGATAAACTGGCTAGACCCCAATGATCAAAATAGAGTCCCCATTCGTACCTTATGTTTTTCTCTGGCATAGGCTGTCATGGCAAAATTAACCAAGAAAATTTTTGGCCGGTGAATTACATGACCCTATGGCTGCTTCTATTAGGAGGCTCGTTTTTTATTGGTGACCTAGCAATAATTTTTTTACTTAGAGTGCGATTAAAAGTATATATTATCGGCCTTGTATGCGTCCCTAGGCTAGAGTGATTGTATTCAAGGCCATATACACTGATGTAAATGGGTATACTCTATTAAGCCATAATTTATGAACACACACACACACACAATATGGAGCTGGTTATGTGCTTATGGCATCATCGTCTGATTTTCCAGAGTCCACCTACACATGAGGGGATAATTCCAGCCTAATTTTTAAACGATATTGCAAGGCAGAATCATTGGTACCAGAGTGGATATTCCAGAGCCAAGTGGAAAACACAAGTATGCCTCTGTTTCTTTAACATCTTTGTCAGTAAATCTGTGGTTTCCTTTGGTCCGATGGCGGGCGAAATAGGCTGTATCGAAACAATTTAGTTATACTTCCTCCTCGCTTTAAAGTTCGGGCCAAGAGATTACCCCAGTCGGGCGATAAGTCGGCAACATGCTTCTGTTTTTACTGAGCTGCAGAGTTTTAATGAATGAACATAACTAAACAAGAATTTTGATTCCTTTTGGTCTCGCCCCAGAAAACACTGGACACTTTTAAAATAACGTGTTGGAAAATCCATTACCTAGAAGCGATATTGCCTGTGTTTTTTCCCTCTAGTGGACTTTGCCCATCGTCCTCTGTTAGAGTCACTCTAAACATTCTACTAACAATTTGCCTAAATCTTAAAATGCTCCGTCGAACTCCAGCGATTCTAAATTCCTAGAAAATTATCTTTAGTTTTTGAGAGAATGAAGGTTATACTACTGGTAGAGTACAAAACTCTGTGTGCGGAGCCTATGGAACTCCGTAACTTGTCCTCAGTCGTATGCGTTCCGCGGGAATTGATTAACATGACGCTGGAAGAATAATCATTTAACGGGACTATTGATTCCCCTGTTTTCAGCCCCGACACCCGCCGATGGCTAGAGGGATAAGCAACTGTTTTATACAGAGAGAAATACATCCTTTTATATAAGCAACTCGGCTTCGTCGCGTTTATTTTAACCTTGCATTTATTCACAACCGTCGCTTATCACCGCTGCCTCCACTGGTTCTGTGCCCGGCTCCGTTAATAACCTTCTTTGCGACACCCTTTTAGAAGCACTGAACCCGTGAGATTTTAAGACAGCAGCTTTTCAGTCTGTTTTTCCAGACTGATAACATCGAGCATTGTTTATGTTCCCAAATTTCTACTGCAAGTTGGGCGGCAAGCACTCTGAAAAGAAAGGTAAAGCCTTTAGACTAGGCCCGCTAAAGCGCTGCGCGCCGCGAATCCCCCACCTTCGGACTCTGTATGGGCGTGAAAAAGTTTTTGTATAGCCCCAGGCCAGCCCCCCACTCTGGGAGGGTTTTAATGGAGAAATTTAAACTCCCGAAATTCCCTGCTCATGTTGAGGTCACTTTAAAGGGTTACACGCATGTATTGGGCGGTTTAAAACTAAGAAATAACCATTTTTACGCTAGTTGGTTTCTATTTATTTATCGACTAGCATGTAACACTAACTACGGTTAGTGGAATTACCCTTTCAAAGACAATTACGAACCAAACTATCTGTCCATTTTTTTTGATTAGCTAATCTTATCTAATTAGTTTTACGCATAGAGTTTGTTACATCATATGGATTGTGCACCTTTTGAATAACTCACCTGAAAGTCGAAAGCATCCAGATATTGACTAACTGACTACCGTAATAATTTGCTTTCCACAATAATCACTTATATAGTTAAAACATAATCAACTCCGGCAGTGAGGAATCCAGTCCTTGAAGGGGCAATTCTGATCGTTAGGGGGAAGGAGGTCCCCTCGGGGTGTGCGCGTCCACTCTGCGACGAAATAAATAATATTTTTTCAAGCGCTGCTTATGAGCCCAATCACCGAGCTATTCTCGGTTTAAATTGAGCTTTTAAATGAAGTGGGCAGCAGTGTTTTTTCCCGTAAAGGTTCGGATCTCTCGAAACTAAAAACCCTCTCCCAATTCGATCATCATAATTGAGTATTTTTCCCTTTCGGAAATGTGCCTGAATAATTATCTCCTAAGGACATTTCTCTTTAAATCTTCTGTTAGCTGTCGATTAATTTCTTCAATAATATGGTCTGCAATCTGTCGATAACTCATCATTGTTTGGTAGATATCGTGATGGAACTAGTTCTTCTGTACTTATTCCTGTTTCAGTTCATTGTGATTTTACATTGTATAATGTCAATACCGCATTTCTGCATCGTTCTCTTGTTTAGAACATTGGAATTTTTTGGATAAAAACATTAGGCATAGGCCTATTTTCTTAGTTTCAAGGATGATTTAAAGGCGTTGCAGTAATTATATTTTTTGAAAATAGGCCGAAGACTGTATTGTCCGAAAATGTCAATATTTTTTTCTAACTGCTCACATAGAATAAAGAAATTTCCCCGGACCCCGGCTGGCACTTGTTTCCATGGTTGAGGACAGATACAGTATGAGTCGAGGAATACAAAAGTTATAGAACCAGTTATTTATATTTTTTTAAAGGCTTAAAAAAAACCTTTAGTTTGAAGATTTACATTTTTTATTATTTTTATTAGTTTACAGCATTTTAGAATAAAATATCCCAATCATCGTGCTGTCGTTTGCGTTTTCCGCCGTGGAAGTGGACCTCGATGTCTCCTCAGGCATGTCCAATTACGCATGCCAGACTGTCTCTCTCTATTTTGAGATCCAATCCACCGCTGGTCCGACGTCAATCCCCGTCCTGCTGCCTCTGCTGCAGGGCTGCACGGGGCTGGTTGCCGCTGCCAGGGGCCACCGGCACTAGCTGCACCGCTTGATGCTGTCCATGCGTTTGCTTCTCCCAAGACAATCTGTATATGTCCCGTTCTGAGACTTCCGGGGAGGCTCCGGCGTTTCAAGTTCCTTCCCCCCTACCACCTCAAGCTAGGATGAGTTTTTGGGGTGACTTGCCAAGTAATAGTGTGCGAGGCACTGGAGCGGCACGAGCCAAGGCATGTCTGAATGTTCCCGTTTTCAGTAATATGTCTTTGAAAATTATGTTTAATAGAAGGGGAAGAATATGCATGGTTGCCATTCACGCCTGTTTTTCTGCTCATGCCCCAATGACTGTGGGTAAAATTACCCGTTTGGATGTTGCCCATTGGCTATCACCGCTCAGGTCCCAGGGAAACCGACATAATTGTAAACAAATTCGTTCGCTTCTGTTGCTTGTCCTTGCTCAACCGCGTACAAATCTCTGTCGAGACTACGCTTCTAATTGAGCTGTTGCGCAATTTTACATTCTTTTCAAGACAAGGTACCCGCTGAGAACTTAGCATATTAGTGGCTGCAAGGTGAGGGGTCTTATTGCGCGGGGGAACCTCTGGCCTGTCATCAAGGTTGTTGTGCATGGAGTGGGGGTGATTTTTTTTTTTTTTTTTTTTTTTTTATTTTTTTTATTATTTTTTTTTTTTTTTTTTTTTTTTTTTTTTGGTTTTTTTTACATTTTTTTTTTTTTTTTTTTTTCTTTTTTTTTTTTTTTTTTTTTTTTTTTTTTTTTTTGTTTCATTTTTTTTTTTGTGTTTTTTTTTTTTTTTTTTGGGAGGACAATTTTTCCCCGGTTGTAGCCCCCGATCTGCAGCTTGGCAGTCGGTTTCACCAGGATTAGCGATTTTCGCTCAATTTTGGAAAAGGATATTTTCCCCAGAGTGAAAGAGCCGGTCTCGTAGGGATCGAGCAGAAGTAAGCGTTGTGTGGATACACGCTACATATCCCCATTTTCCAGAAATTCTTCACCGGCCGTTATTCTCCCCACAATTACTGGAAATTTATCTCATTCCCATATTCTCGTCAACTGTTTGGTTTTCCTAAGAGTCCTCGCTGAAGGGAAGTTAGAACGGATAATGTTATCGTTACGGACTGGGCGGCAGGGATTTAAATACCGCACTGCTGTAGCCGCCTCCACTCCAGCGGGTGGGGTTTGGTAGGGGCTTGGGGGACCTCTCTAGGTTCGACATTCGCCTAAGGTGCTTATACAAGCTTTGGGCCATTCAAGAAAGCTTCTAGTCAATGGAAGGAGGGTCCCGAAATCATGCCGTTAGCATATTCATAAGCTCGCTGATTTCACTGTCCAGGTTCTGTTTCTGAGTTAAATTTCCATATACTCTCTTTTTCCAATTTCATCAAAAGTCTTAGTAAATCTCTGGTGCATTATGGGGGCAGATTGACTTTGATGGATTCGTAGGTTTTGTCACATTATCTATCTCTATCTCTCACAAAACTCAGCTTTGTAACAACACACATGCTGAGAAATCCTTCGTCTTGACGTTAATTGATGTAATAATATCGACAAACGGGGTTCCTTTTCTCCTTCTTCATTCAACGGTGATATTAATTCGTCTCTGGGAGAATCAGACTGAGGGCGGGGGTCATTTTTTTATTTTGTTATGTAAAGCACTTCGAGAAAGGAACTTCTTGTCTCCTATCCTAGTCCCCCGTATTTACTAAAGCGGGCAAAGCTCTTCTCTCGACTTTATTGATAGCTTATAAATTTCAATAGGGCTTAAGCCAGAGCGGCTTTTTTTTTCCGCGGTCTTTTTAAACATAAAAACCGGCCTAATAATTTGTTTTCTCCGCCTATGGTGGATTTTTTTATAAATCTTGGCTCTAATCTAATAATGGCTCACTAATTTCCCCGCGGCTGAATGGGCAAATGGTGTTTTTAAATCGATGTACGCTCGACTGCTTGTCAAAGATTTAATAGATTTGTAAGATGTTTTAAATTTATGGTAAAATTTGAGGGAATAAAATACCTCCTCTTGTATCCCACCGAATGAATAGAATTATTATTCCTTTGAATAGATTTACATAGATTTTCGCGCGTATGGCAAATTCTTCTCTCTCTTTTCGTGAAATACAGATCAAGTTTCTTTTCATTTAAAATCTTGGGGAAGAGTCCTCAGGCGAGAAGAGAAAACTGTTTTGTTTTTTTCTTGGAATAATAAAGATAAAAGTATTTCCGGCGGGATTTTTTATTATTGGAGTGGCTATTAATTTCGGTGGTCGAGTTTGTTTTTTCACTTTTACTCTTAGACTCCTCGCGTGGCAACTACCGCGGGCGCGCCCGCTCACCCGCAGCCGCCGCAGCCTCCGCCGACTGCCGCCTACTGCCCGCCGGCCAGGCATTACAACAGCGAACGAGCTTATTTTTCTCTTTTTTTATGGGGGACTCACCAGTCCACCAAAGATCTCAGGTTGGGACATCTCTCGCTTCCGTGGGAGGTGGTACTCGAAGCGTGTAAATTACCCCTTATGAGGAGAGTTGCTATCTGCCTTGGGGACAGGAGCTTGGACCTTCCATCCTTGCTTTGGGCTGGTTTCACTTTCACTCTCGAAGGCTGGAAATTCCTTCCTACGCGCCATAGGTAGTGTTGCAGTGCTTTCGCTCGAAGGGCGGGAAAAGGGAGATTTCGCCGCTTAGGAGTGGGTAAGATATTTTGTTACCAATTTTAAAATATATTTTTCGGCGGGTAGTGCCGGAGGGATGAGGAGAAACAAATTCCCTTACCACCATTGTGATATTCGATTATTTATTTACTTTATAAACTACTATTCAGCGAGATGAACCAGAGGTAAGAGTGTAGTTAAGATGGCTCCCCTCCACGCTTTTCAAAGAAGAATATTCACATTTTTTTTTTTATAAAGTGGAAGTTCTTTACGGGCAACGGATGAGAATGTCTCCCTAAACTTCTTTTAATTTTACTCCAAAATAGTCGGTTCTACTGTTGATGTTTTCTAAAAGAAAATTATAAATATCTCAGATATGTGATAATGTTCTTTTTTTTTTTAATTCCTTAATAATTACACTTGCGAGCTTTAGCTGGAAGTTTGTTTTAAAAGTAAAATTAAATAACTCTCTGTTGTTGCATGCCAAGGGTTACCCCCTTGTCTGACATTTTTGCATGTCCCTCTCGTGCACCCACTATCTGCACTTCAGGGATAACCCACCCAGCCATACCTAGAATATTCTCTACTGCCTTCAGTCTTTTTCTTCTCCGTCTCAATATTTTTTAATGGGAAAGAAATTCAGGTAGAGATCGTTTCTATTAATTCCTTGAGCGTAAAATTGCCCTGTTATTTTTGTCCCCGCTCAGGTCGATATAAGAATAGTGGGGATTTTACTTGCCGAATTATTCAACCTGATTGATTTTAAAAAGTTTCTTCGGTGTTTTGAGGCCAATAACTCTTTAAATATCCCCCCGGTGGCTAGTTATCCGCACATGCCCTCCAGGCGTCAGATCGTGGAAAGAGGCGTGAGCGCGTGGCGGCTGGATGAGGACGGGCATTTAAATACATTTAGCACAGAAACTGCGCCGAACGAATGTCCCTCGAGGGAAAGAAAGACTCAGAGAATGCACTTGATTTTTGGAGTTTGAACCTTTTCTCTCTCTGAGAGAGGTTGAGGGGATAAAGTTGAGTTTGTAAGTTTCTACTATGGCTGGTAATACCTCTATATATTTTAAAGAATTTGTTAAAGTCATATAGCGGTAGATTCTATGCTTAAGCGTGCGAATAGCTCGTTCCGCTATTGCAGCCTTAGTGTCCGAGAAGGTACTGTATAATTTAATATTTTTTTTTTTTAGGTAATTCAGAAGAGGACGGTTATAAAACTCGGTCCCTCTGTCCGTGTGTAATCTCGAAATTCCACGGAAGGTGGGGCTTTCTATAATATTTCGTAAGGCTGACAAGACGCTTTTTGAGTTTTTTCTGACTAGTCCTACCGCCTTCATTAACCTTGAAAAGACATCTATGCATAACAAAATATATTTAATGCCACCATTGTGGGAATGTAATAAAGTCATGTCCGCCAAGTCGCAGGTGAGTATAATGCGAGGGGCAGCAGCTATGATTTTCCGTCTGGGAAATCGCAGAGGCTGCAATTTATGCAAAGTATAGGCCCTCTGAGAAGAGAGATAATCTACTACGTCTTTATAAGTAATAGAGGCGTTTTTCTCCCTAGCTGCTCTAAAAAGTTTGTTAACATTCCCAGTAAAGCCCCCGGGGCTATTGACGTCTCTATATACTTTTTCTAGAATTTTCTTTTTATGTGAATTTAAGGCCATTTTTGTTTTTACCAGCGGTATACAGTTTCACAGTTGCCCTCTCCGGTAATGAAGCTTCGTAATTGAATTTCCTCTGGAGCGGTTAAATCAACCAGAAGATAGCCGTTTTATCCGCAAGTGACGTGGACGAATATTCCCACAAATTTCGGGGCTAGATTTTTTCCATAAATTTGTCCCCCGAGCCCATTCCAACTGAGACAGATCTCGTTGTCTTAATAAAAATATATTGACAAACAATTAAGCGTAAATCGTGCGAGCGTATTTTCCTTGTGGGAAATAAATTTTGAGATATGAGAATTCGGATATTTGCTCGTGTCTTCCTCTAGTAAAAAATTGGCTATAAATCACTCTTAACCTGCTCATTAAAAAGGTCATCAATTTATAACAGAGAGTTTTGTCTGTCTCAAGGGATTTTTGGTAATCCCCCGGGGTTTAATGAGACCTTTCACTAAAAATGTTTTTCTCCTAAGAGAGGTTGTTTTTTGTTTAAAAGGGGTTTGAGTTTTTTATCTTTCCAGACTGGAAATGATTATTCCCCTGCGAAAAGAACCGGCATATTTTTTACATAAACGCTCCAACTAGACTGCTCTTGCCTGCCCCGCTAAAAACCAGCAACAAGTATTCTTGCAGGCTCTCTGAAAATATTCAACTCTTCCTCTGTTAAAGGTACAGAACCTTTTGTCCATCTTCCCATCTCAAAATGACCCCTTTTTGTGGAAGAATCATCTTATATATAAACTTTTTCTTTTTTGTTCAAAGCAGAGGGGGAGGGAGGGGGGATTTTTATCCCAGAGATGAAGATAACAATGGCGGCATGGCCTTTCTCCCGCCAGAAGACCATAGAAAAAAAAGCCCGACCGACAGTGAAGGTCGTCTGGATATTACGCAGTTTCACAAACCTTCCCTACGCCAGGTGGTGGTGGGTCGAATGGAGGTCACAGACAAAGAGAAGCAGGCTCCGCCACTTCTGGCCGGCAGATGCCTATTATTTTTATTTTGGGAAAAATATATTATTAATTATTATTATTATTTTTAAAGAATATTTAAGTTTTGCGATGACAAACTCTATAAATTAATTAAACTTTCCCTCGCCTCGGCTGTAATTTTCAAATGGGAAATTCATCACTATGACTATGGCAAATTAACTTAATCCTCCCACTTGTGCGCGTGCGGGCGGAGCCTCAAATTCTTATTTTTTCGTTCGGGAAAAAGAGTTCTTCCCAGATTTTATCCCGCTTTACTTTATTAGACGAATAAGACACTCTTTTCTAGATTATATTTATAAATATATAGACTGCGGGGATTGTTATGTTTAAAAGATTCTCATGAAGAATAGGAGAAGAGCTGGATGTGAACAAACTGTACCCACTACTTTGGGGGAAGTATTAAGTACTCAGCTTAATTACACGCTTCCTAAAAGCGTGCTATAAATACGCTGCAACACTTTTCGTCTAGGGCGAAAGGTGTGTGCTCTTCCCGCTCACTAGTCAAGAAAGTAATCCAGCTTAGATTAGAGGCAGGTAAAAACTTCCTCGTAGGGTGGCTATGGGAGATTAAAATATTATCTAGTAATATAAATAATTTATGGAATATGAGAGTGAGTGTGTATTTACAGAGGATATGACTCCGTCAACCCAGGGTTCTCGCAGATGCCACCTATGCGGGCGTTTATATATAAAGTATACACTCAGGATGGCATCTCACCACACATTCTCCCTGTAGTGTTCGCGGGCTATCAGTGGTGTAGGGCGACGACACAGCTCATCGCAGGATGATGGCGTGACAGGTGAGATTACTCAGGTTTATTGCTCTGAATTGAGATGGTTTTCCTTAAAAACTGTTATTTGGGTTTCAGATAATGAAATAAGCTTTGACTAATGAAATAATATATAAGTCCAACAGTTGGTGCGGGGCAATACTCCAAGCAGATGATCCGGGGGGGGGCGGGGCAGAAGAAAGAGGTCCAGCGCTCTTTTCTAATCAATTATTTTTATTTAACGAGTCAAACCATGTTTGTAAGATAAAGTTTTTATAAAGTATCTCACACTAAACGAAGAATAAAAATCATTTGAGAATCCGTGCATATATTCCATAGGAGAGTGCTTAGCTTCTCCCAGTTTTATACTTTAACCGTAACATTTTTTAAAAGTATTGCTCGAGTTAGGTATTATCTAGTATGGCTCCTAAAACCTGCTAATGAATAAGATAAAGTAACTTCTCTAATTATATTAGTGCAGATCAGTCTGTGTCCCCCCGATGAATCGGTTCGACCGTGTAACACTCCCACAAGAGCAAGTTGAGGGGGGCCGAGGTTGCCGGTCCAATGGATTGAGACCACTCTCCACAGAGTGACAGCTCCTCTTCCAAAGATCATTACTACTCTTTCTTGGGGTTCACCCCCTCATGGGTGCGAATGCGAAGGTACACTTTCAGTAAAAAAAAGATTTTTGTTCAGAGATGAGTGAAGAGAGTGAATGGGAGAGCGATCCATTTCGTGAGGGTAACCGCATATCATACGGCGCTCGGATGTTTATTCAAGGTCACTTTCGTCGATTAATATATTCAATTCCAGCCATCGTGCATAAACACGACCCCCATATTATTTCTTCAGTCCCTTCGCAACAGATAGAACATTATATCGGCACATATTACAGTTTTTCACTTTCTATCAGGACGAGCACTTATTATATGAAAATGCTCAGGATTATGGGATTTATGCCGAACTTGAGTGGCCGTGGTATTTTGCGCAGACAGGGGCGCTACTTGGGAAGGATGACAGTGCCTCAGCCCAGTATATAACTTTTCGCCGCGCAACTAGTTTACACGAGATGATATATCACGGCTCTTACGGTTCATGGAGGGAGTACCTTAGTCACGCGATTAAAACTGAAATTTCATCGGGCGAGGGGATCGGCTTCATACTAGATTTATATCATGGTTTTCATATTGTAATATGCAAGAATGGATGTTGCGTGTGGATACCTAGGAGACTATATAGGGGGAATATCCCCCATCTTTGCGAGGAAAAATCTAGAGTAAGGTTAACCCGAGAGGTGAGTAAAA